AATCTAAACAAAGGGATACTTTCAACCTCGCTAGAGAAAAGTCACAGCACATGAAACTACTATAATATTGTCTGACAACTGTAATCAGGGGGAAACAATTTTAAGTCAGAGTCTCAGAAAGGTGCTTAAAAGCCTAGTCCAATCTTCCTTCCCCGCCCTCCCTCAACTCGAGCACCTCTTCCGACGTCCACGGCAGTTCTCACCTGCTTGCATCTTTCGTCACGGATGTTCGCCAACAGGAAAAGCATTTGATTGATTTGTCAACAGCTCTGCTTTGAGGCCCAGCCCTGTATTATTGAGAGAAATTCTACTGGTTCTAAGAATACACTGACTATATACTCCTTCATCTAAGGCAGAGGTGGGGAACATCCGGCCTCTGGGCCATATAAGGCATGTGAAATCATTAGGTCTGGCCCTGCCAAGGGATTAGGGACGAGTTAATTAAATGTTTGACCAAATATAGCAGGTTAATTTTTAAGTTGATAATTTTATATGGCCCATGAATGATGTTATAAATATCCAAATGGCCCTCAGCAGAAAAAAGGTTCCCCACCCCTGATCTATTTAAGCCAACGGCTCAAACTAAAAAAGCTCAAACTTGCCCTGGCCGGTTTGGCTCAGTGGATAGAGCGTCGGCCTGAGAACTGAAAGGTCCCAGGTTCGATTCTGGTCAAGGGCACATGCCTGGGTTGTGGGCTCGATCCCCAGTGGGGGACTTGCAGGAGGCAGCTGGTCCATGATTCTCTCTCATCATGGATGTTTCTATCTCTTTCTCCCTCTTCCTTCCTCTCTGAAATCAATAAAATTATATTAAAAAATAAAAATAAAAAAGCTCAAACTTAAGGGCTGTATAGAGTACAGCAAAAAGCCTGGGAACCAGCCAAACCGGTTTGGCTCAGTGGGTAGAGCATTGGCCTGCGGACTGAAGGGTCCCAGGTTCGATTCCAGTCAAGGGCATGTACCTTGGTTGCAGGCACATCCCCAGTGGGAGGTGTGCAGGAGGCAGCTGGTCGATGTTTCTCTCTCATTGATGTTTCTAACTCTCCTTCCCTCTCTGTAAAACAACAATAAAATATATTTTATAAAAAAAAAAAAAAAAAAAAGGCTTGGGAACCAGATAACAGAGCTCGAGTTTAGGTTCCATCACTTACTTACATGACTCCATGTCAGTCACTTTTCTCTTGGCCTCAGTCTGCTTCCTCATCTTAAACATGGGGAAGTTGGATGAAGTATCTTGAAGATCTGCTGTAACCTTAATAATTCTGATTCAGGTAGTGAGAGCAACAGGCATTTTCATGTCACCATGATGTGGCAACAACTATGGGAATCCTTTTAATTTCCCCACAACAACCACATCCCAAAGAAAACTAACAGAAAAGGAACATTAGGGCAAATGCATGATGCCGAAAGGCCCTAGGCTGTGAAATTCATTTCAATCACAGATGCTCATATCCTTATCACCCACTAGGTGTCACTACAGACCCATAACTCAAATGATCTGTAGACAAAGTAACTGGAAACCAGATGTGCTTTGAGCAACATGTGCTCTTTTCATTAAAAAGCAGTGTTAACTGGGACACACACACTTGTTCACAGAGGCACCAAATAATAAACACTTTGCCAAGACAAGAGAATCACCCTGTGCCCTGGAGGGTGTGGCTCGGTTGGTTGGAGCATTAACCTGGCACCAAGAGGTCGTAGGTTCAATTCCCAGCCAGGGCACATGCCCAAGTTGCAGGCTCGGTCCCCAATAGGGGGTGTGCAGGAGACAGCCAATTCATGTTTCTCGAACTCTCCCTCTCCCTTCCTCTCTCTAAAAAAAAATCAAAAACATACTTTAAAAAAAGAGAATCACCTTGTGATGGAGTTCCAGTATCAGCCGTGACTATCACAAATATAATTTTATTTTTTAAGATTAACAGGTTTAGCCCTAACCGGTTTAGCTCAGTGGATAGAGCGTCGGCCTGCGGACTGAAGGGTCCCAGGTTCGATTCCGGTCAAGGGCATGTACCTCGGTTGCGGGCACATCCCCAGTGGGGGGTGTGCAGGAGGCAGCTGATCGATGTTTCTCTCTCATCGATGTTTCTAACTCTCTATCCCTCTCCCCTCCTCTCTGTAAAAAAAAAAAAAAAAAAATCAATAAAATATATTTAAAAAAAAAAAAAAGATTAACAGGTTTATTTACATTTAGGGGAAGAAAAAACCCTAAAACTTCAAACTACTCCCTTTTTTCATACGAGTTGATCCACAAGTACCCTAACTCCTCCTTCAATTATCTTTAGTATTTGAAGGCTGAAGCTTACCTTTAAACCACGTTTTTAAAAGATTAGTAAATTTTACTCAAGCTACTTTAAAAAATATTGCTTTAAAATTACCCCAAATCATAATTTATATTCTAAGTCAGAATTATCCAAAGCAGGTTGCCCAAAGATTTCTCTGTTACCACCACCAGCCTAACTTAAATTAGATTAAGCCCAACTTGAAAAGCTGTCGTCAGACATTTAACCCATTCACACAAGTTACCTGCATTTATAAAGACTCTCTAGTCACAAAATAATTCTTTTCCCTAGCCAGAAAGTATTTTCTCTTATTAGTAATATAGTAATTAGATCTTAGAACTGGAAGGGGCCCTAAAAGTCTTCTAGTCCAGCTTCCTCATTTTATTTATGAGAACTCCGGAACCTGAGATGTTTAAATGACTGGCACAAGGTAAAAAGGTAGGTAGCACAATGCTCTTCACACAAAGCATTCTCAAGGGAATTCACCTAAAACAGATTACAGGGACATGCACCCAGACCAGTGGTCGGCAAACTGCGGCTCGCGAGCCACATGCGGCTCTTTGGCCCCTTGAGTGTGGTTCTTCCACAAAATACTGACTTCTGCGCGTGGGCCACAAAGTTTCAATCGCACTGTACGTGCGCACCCCGCATGTGGTATTTTGTGAAGAGCCACACTCAAGGGGCCAAAGAGCCGTATGTGGCTCGCGAGCCGCAGTTTGCCGACCACTGACCTAGACTGATAACTGCCAACAGTCTTTTCCACACACACAGATTCTTTCACAGCCACAACTGCATCCCTTATTCAGGAAGGCTTCAGCTAAAATTTTCCTAGCAAACCCAATGGAAAATGAAACAATTAGTAAAATTTTCTTGTTATGCATATGCTCACCTCCAGCTTATCCTATATAATAAAAGGCTAATATGCAAATCAACCGAACGGCAGAACGACTGGTCACTATGATGCGCACTGACCACCAGGGGGACAGACGCCCAACGCAGGAGCTGTCCCCAGGTGGTCAGTGCGCTCCCACCACATCCCCCGAGGGCTCCCGGACTGCGAGAGGATGCAGGCCGGGCTGAGGGACCTCCCCTCCACCCACCCCCCCCCACACCCACAGTGCATGAAATTCGTGCACTGGGCCTCTAGTTTTTTATTTATATATATATAAAAAAAAGACAAACACAAAATACAACAAACCTTAAAAGAGAATCCAATTAATTCTGAGACTAATGGGTAACCTCATTTCTAATTAAGATGCAGCGGTGCCCTATTTAAAATCCCCTAGCAATGACAAACTGTGCAATTGGCTACATTGAGGGGGAAAGGATAGAAAAAGAGAGGTATGTTCAATTATATAACAATGACAGACTTTTATTTAAATGAGTAATTAGTCTCTATTGACATACTGGTCCTAATTATGGATTTGCTATTTAGTGTTAATTCATTCACTCTAATCTGGCGATACCGGATACATATAAGCAAACCCTACCACTGGCCATCCCAAGCGACAGGAATCCAAGTTAAACAGAACCTTGGGACGGTGCTATGCGAGTGCTGGAAGGTAAATGCCAATGGCCTCGGCTGTGTGCGCACAGCCCTGTGGGAAATGATTATGCTGCCTAGCCACGTACGGACACAGGAACAGAGAGCTTTCCTTCCTTTTCAAAACTAAATAAATACGTATCGCTATCCAGGAGGGATTCTCTCACCACAAATACAGCTCACAGAAAAGGCCTGGGAGCCAAATGTGTTCCATGATAGGACTGCCATAGAGAAGAAATGAAAGAATAACTTACAATTACATTTTTCTAAATCATAGTTTATAGAAGTATATCGCAGAAAAATGACTTCCCTTAGACCCTAGGATTAGGTAAAAACTGGAGGGAAGCTCTGGAATACACAAGGACACACGGGAAGAGTTTGAACAGAAGGAGTTCCAGCCTCCACCAGATACTTCACACGAAGAGTGAGGACCTCCCCGTAGCCCCCAGCATAAGGCCGTTCTTAACACTTGGGTTTCGGGAAACGAGTTAAGTCGGCTCGCGTGAATTGCGCGTACTCCGCGGGAGCCGTCTTAAACTCGGTTCATATAGATTTGCGGTGGAGTGCGGGAAACGTGTAAACTCGGGCCGATTGTAACTGCGTATTACCAAATATTTCATTTCAATCGAACCCATACTTCAAAAGATATAGGCATTTTAACGCGCCATTGAGGACCTCCCCGTAGCCCCCAGCATAAGGCCGTTCTTAACCTCGGCTCCTCATAGGCTCAGAGGGTCTCAGAACCCCTTGGAATTACACATCCAATTCTGGTTTACAGATGAGACATTTCCTAGGACATAGCTTTCATCAGATGCATAAAAAACCCAAAAAGTAACCAAGATGAGCCCTGACTGGTTTGGCTCAGTGGACAGAGTGTCGGCCTGCAGACTGAAGGGTCCCAGGTTCGATTCCAGTCAAGGACATGTACCTTGGTTGCGGGAACATCCCCAGTAGGGAGTGTGCAGGAGGTGGCTGAATCGATGTTTCTAACTCTCCATTCCTCTCTCTCTCCCTTCCTCTCTGTAAAAAATCAATAAAATATATTTTTAAAAAAACTAACCAAGATGAAAAGCTGCTCCTCTTCCTGATGTGCTCAGCTGTTGAATGCAATGTGAAGAAGTGGGCAACGTTCATAATCTTAGAAACAAGATATTCAACAGATGAACAAGATGTCAACAAAGTCGGCTAAGTTTGTATTTTTACTGTCACAAATAAGTTTACTGGAAGCAAAGAGCATCAAATCAAGTACTATTGGGAAAGTCGGAAGCAATGTTTACTCCTTCCTGCCTAAACCTAAAAGAAAGGGGATTTTCTGACCTATCACTTACAAATTTCTATAAGAACGTACATACCTCTATGGAAGTGCAGCCCAAGCCTTTTGTAAAGAACTCCGCAGCATAAACTGACCGTTTTCAAACCTCAACTTTTTATTTTCTTAAGTAAGCAGTGGTATAGCAGTCTTTTCAAATGTTTCTTTTTGGAATGGCTTATAGAAAATGGCACCTGGGACCTTTTAGCTCTTTGTCCCCAAATATTTCAAGAATACGGCCCATTAAATTTCTTAAAATAAGATAATATACCTAGTAGGTCAAACAATCTGAAAAATGAAGGTATCCCAGAAGACTTAAGACTTTTCAAGCTCCTCAAAAATGCCACTATAGGCCACTCTACAATAGGTCACAGAGGATGGCTACTCAAAGGTATCACTTGTTGATGCTTCGGGTGGTCTGAGGTATGGCCGTCATCACTGGCTGCCTCGCATCATTTCTTGTAAGTAAATGGTATTCATGTGATAGGCCGCCATCCACCCTGGATGCCTCTGAGCATTCCAGTAGTAGGACTGCGAAGCAGCAGAATAGTACTCGTGCCAGGCCCTGTAGTAAGCTCTCCAGTACTCCTCGTAGTCCTGGTAGGTACCCGAAAGACCCGCCTGGGCGTCCCTCTGGCGGTCAGACCACTCATTTTCCTGGGGCTCTGTCTGCGGCCGACAGGAGCGCCGAGGGTTCCTGCGGCTCTGCTTAGCGCTCTGGCTAGCCCCCTCTTTATGCCTTGCCTTTGTTTGGGTTTCAGGTGATTCCTGACACTCTACCAGATTCGGGGTGTCATTTCCATTCAGAGGTTGTTCCAAAGAGGTATGGCCAGCCACAGGGGTCGATGCCAAGTCCTTCAGCTGAATGTCAGAAGAGCCTTCCACATGTGACTTATTTCCTTTGCTCTGGGACGAAGTCCTTGAGCTGAAAGAATCACTGTCGCTCTCAGAGTCTCCAGACTGACTACTACTTGCCAACACCCGCACTCTCTCTTCAGCAATTCCATTCCTCACAAAACCATTGTGCGGGTTCCCAGCCCGATCCCCAGGACCCGTGTAGTGCCTGATGATCTCCACAGGCTTCTCCAGCCCCTCCTTGATATAGTGCTCATAATCCTCCGACAATTCTGCAAAAGTCAAAGCGCACGGCGGATGGGTTTTAAAGGAAGACAGACAAGGAATCTGGGGGAGCAACACAGGGGAGTCTGCTCTGGCCTGGTGCTGACTGTGGGCGCTTTCTGCAGGGGTCTCAGCAGAATGCTGCTCTTGCTCCTCCGACTGCACGGCCCGGCCCGATGCTTTGGGCGATTCTGCTTTTTCAAGGATTCCACACTCCGAGTGGCTTTTCACAGGGAGCTTCTGTTTGGTGGTGTTTTTGGATTTGACTGACAGTGTAGATACAGAAGTATTTCTACAAGAAGCCATGTGGTTACCATGAGCTTTCTGAGTTTGAGAGGTTCTCTCTATTTTCTGCATTTGCTTTCTTAGGGGCTGGCTGGGTATACTTGCTAAGCCATTTGTATGCACAGCAGCTTTAACCTCCACATCCCAATCCAAACATTCTTCCATCAGACCAGGAGGAATGGGATCTACAAAAAAGGAATAACATTAACATTCTCCAGCTGCTCTAGACCAGCATTTTCTGAATGGTTTCATAAAACAAGTATCCTATACAATAAAAGCCTAATATGCTAAGTACCCGATCGTCCATTCAACCAATCAAAGCATAATATGCTAATGATATGCTAAAACCACTCAACCACTCACTATGACATGCACTGACAACCAGGGGGCAGATGCTTTGATCGGCCCGACCTCAGCAGTAGGTTAGCTTGCTGCTGGGGTCGGGCCGATCAGGACTGAGCAAGATGGCCAGACACGCCCTGGAGCCCTACCGTGGCCCCTCCCCCTGCCCCGGCCAGCCCTGCCCCCAATCAGCCCCCATCGGGGCGGGCTGGCCAGACCCCACCCATGCATGAATTTGTGTACCGGGCCTCTAGTTTTGTACATAAGGACATAAGCTTAGAGCAGCAATTTTCAAGAGGTGTGCATTAAGAATTTTTAAAACATGCAATACCTGACTGTTTGGTCAGGCGCTCTGACCTCTTTTCCTAGATTTTCAAGTAAAACTATGACAGCAGCCAACACAACAATAGCCATCCAACATGAATAAATCAAAATTAAAGTTATATTTTTTGTCAGATCAGCAAAAACTATATTTTTTGGTGTGCCACAGAATTTTAATGATTATGTGTGCAATGAAATGGAAAAGGTTGAAAATTGCTGGCTTAGCGTAAAGAAATCTGTAAAAAAAAAAATTTACAAAATGACTTATTACAAAGTCAGAATTATTAGAATCCACAGACCTGTGACTAATTTAGCTTTGTAAAAAATCACTAAAGGAGTTAAGCATAAATTGGTAAAATTTTCATTGTCAGGATTATTCAATCTATAATCTATATATATAAAAGGCTAAGTGACCGACCGTCCATCCAACCAACTGGTACATATGACGCGCACTGGCAATTTAAAAATAAACATTGACTTGCACACGAGCAATACATATAAAGCTCTCACTGATGCCAATCTAGACAGAGTAGGAATATTCCTACTTGAACCAGTTTTCGGACATGGTCAGTTATACGTTACTTTCTTTCAAGTTTGAAGAGCGTGACATTAAAGTTAAAGCTGTAAATATTTCATCACAAGGGAAATTAGTCAAGCACTCTGAAAGTGTTTTTACTTTTAATGTGATATACGGGGAGATATTTGAATAAGTTTAATCAATTTATCAGTCATTGTTTTTATCAATGTTGTTTTTATATCATGTTTTTGTTTTCATATCATGTCTTTGTTATATCATGTTACTGTTTATTAATCAATTTACATATTATTTTCATATACATTTTCTAATTTTCTTTCATCTTTGACACTTCTATTATAGAGAAAGGGCAAATAGTGATATTAAAATATTTCTTCTAATTAATTTCCTTTCAATGTGCACAAATCTGTGCACCAGGCCGCTAGTAACTACATATCCCATATTCTAGGTCATGCAATATACTATATAAGTATACAGTTATGGATGTGTATATACACACATATGTAGACTGATTATATACACTAACAAGCATACTAAACTACCACAGCAAATAAACTATATTTCCACATAAGAGTTCTTAGGGTTTTTGTTTTCAAGAGGTCATTAATAGTTTCAGACACACACTTTCTAAGATGGCACTTAAAAAGAGCAGCTTGAGAAATGATTCACTAAAATCAAAAGAAAACACTTCAAAAATTTCAAAACAGTGTTTAAAAGATACCATTCCTTCCCCATGGTGACAAAAGAGAACATGGCAAGAATTGCCTTCACAGCGATATGCGGTAAAATATTCCCCTTTTATAAAACAATAAAATCAAATTACAAGGCTGTAAACTAAAAAACGGAGCTAATATGTAGTAAGACATTTTTCATGTGCCAATAATTAGCTTGCGACCTTCTCCCTGCTATTCATTAGCTGAAAGACCTTAGGCAAATTACCTAACCTCTCTATGCCTCAGTATCCTCACCTACAAAATACACACAGTAACGGCACACACCTCCTAGGACGGTGGTGAGAATTAAACGAGTTAGCACACGTCAAGTACTTGGAGCAATGCCTGAGACGATGTAAGTGTTCCGTGTTAGCGGTTATTTTTATTAGGCCTCTCATCATTATCACTATTATTTTGATAGCAAAATGAAACAAACAAATATACCTGGTAAAGGCAGAAGGTTGATATTACATTTCTGGGCAATTTTCATCATCGTATTTTCTTCTTCTCCCCGGCAACAGTAGGTCACTGCCAATCCCAAAGTACCTAAAGACAGAGGGAATGTTAAGTAGTAAGTCATTTTCACCTAAATGGCACTCCAAGTCCACTGTCACATTCCAGATTCCTCCCCTTAAACAAAGCACACCAACTTGTCTATTTACCAAAACGGCCAGCCCTGCCAATCCGATGCATGTATGTCTCCCAGTCCAGTGGCACGTCCAGATTTACAACCAGATTCACCTTCTCGGCATCAATCCCACGGGAAGTCTTGAATCGAGAAAGAGAGCAACTGTCTGCATTACCTGTAGCATGGTACCAATGCACACCACCTTATTCTAGTCTAACCAGGAGCCAAATTAAGACAAGAAGATATTTAGGAGGAAGGAGCAAAGGAAAAGGAAATTCATTTCTGTGACTAATTTCAAGAACAAAGATGAAAATATAAGACATTATTATTATTCACCCAAACTGAAGAGGATATTTACCAGATCTGTGGAGATGAGGACTCTGCAATGAAACTGCTTCAGTTTAGCCATAGCATCGAGACGCTGATTCTGATTCATGTTGCCTAAAAAGACCCAAACACACAATTATCAAATCCAAAAAAAGCAGGAATCATAACTCCCAGTCTTAACAATTTAAAAAGTTAATGCTGTCCTTATAGGCAAATCTAGGTTAAGACCTACAGTCAGAATCTTTTAAAATACAGTTAAGCAATACACCTGAAATTTAAAAAATCAATTTTAAATGGTGATTACGTTATGCCTGCAGATACAATATTATATCTGAAAAGTCACATGTAAAGTATAACAATTCTTAGGAAAATAAAATTGCTTTAATCAGCTATTTATAAATTTGGTGTTGAAGTGTGATCTATAGTCAAAATATTAGTCCATCAGAAAACAGTGTCCTCAGTATCTCATGATATACCAGGGCTAAACAAGCTAATAGCTTAAAGACTAAGCTGAGATACCAATCAAAACTCTAAAAAGGCCCGGCTAGCAAGGTTCAGTGGTTGAGCATCAACCTATGAACCTGGAGGTCACGCTCGATCCCCAGTGTTGGTCCTGCAAGAGGTGGCTGATCGAGGATTCGCGCTCATCATTGATGTTTCTCTCTCCCCCTCTCCGAAATCAATAAAAATAAAAACTCTAGCCCTGGCCGGTTTGGCTCAGTGGATTGAGCATCAGCCTGCGGACTAAAGGGTCCCAGGTTCGATTCCAGCCAACGGCAGATGCCCAGGTTGCAGGCTCGATCCCCAGTAGGGAGCATGCAGGAGACAGCCGATCCATGATTCTCTCTCATCACTGATTTTTTTCTCTCTCTCTCTCCCTCTCCCTTCCTCTAAAATGGATCTCACTGATCAAACATTCCTTGAAAGCTTTTATTCCTACTAGGCCAGCAGTAATAACTTAGGTTTGTGTCAAAATGAATCACTTTTGCCTACCACAAGACCATAAAACAGTTCAGTTAGCGATTCTTTAACATTTTAATGATTGTCAAGAAGCAAAATATTTTCCTCTTAAGATGACAAAAACAAACTTTGTGTGAATATAAGTCCAGTTTTCTAATTTTTTTATTATATACCAAATTACTTCTTAAAAGAATATACTGATATGTTTCTATCTCTCCCTTCCTCTCTGAAATCAATAAAAAATATATATTTTAAAAATCCCAATGAAAAATGAACCTGGAATTTCCTTCACTCTGAAGACTGAGCGCAACCTCACACTCACAAGACAACTCTTGAGGTGGGATTTCGGCCTCGTGGCCTGAGGCTTCACTTCAGGTACTAAACAAGGATTAAAGTGAGATGAACTCACCCGAAATGCACTCCGCGGGAAAGCCTTTAGAAGTAAGGATATCAGCCAAATGCTGTGCTCTGTGAAAATGACAGAGGGTGATCATTTTACAGACGCTGCCCACACCTATTCTTTTATCTCACAAGTTCCCCCAGATGGCCTTCTACGTAATTACCTGCTGTGTAAATTAGAAAAGACTAAGGCTTGATTAAACGGAATTCTGCTGAACAGTTCCTGTAAATGCTGAGCCTTTTCTTCAAAAATCTTATGGGCCAAAGGGTACAAATTGACAACTTTGTAATACTGCTTCAAACCTATGAAGAAGCCAAGAGCCGTCTGTTAAAACACCGTTAGCTGCAACCCCATAAGAGCACATATAAAAGCAACAGGCAACTAGGCACGAAGGAAAATTCCAGAGCATCACACACCAGGAATGTAAGTGTCCAGTATCTATGCTCACCGAGGAGACTTGGGTCAGTGGAACTGAGTCTTACAAAAGTGGGGTCTCTCATGTACTTGGCCAAAGCGTTAGCCAAACATTCTGGGTAAGTCGCTGACACTGCCACCATCTGCTTACTGGCCGGCAAGGAAGAATAAATCCAACTGCAAAACAGAACACACGCCATGGAAACGATTCAGGCAGTGATCGCCACCTGGAAAAGCTAAAGACAGACACTTGGGGCACCATTTTCATAGCCAAGTTAGTTGTATTTCTTACTTTATTTGCTCCTGGAAGCTGCCTTCTTCTAAAAGCTTATCCGCTTCATCCAGAATAAAGAGACGTACACTGCCTGGGTTCAAGTAGTCAAGTTCTATCAGTTGTTTAATTCTGCCTAAATTTTAAAAAAAAAGAAATATTTATGGTGAAAAAAATTTGTGCAAGTCTCAGCCAATACCACTCTACTTAGAGGTTGTATTGCTGACTATCCTGATGCAATCTTCATTTATGCACTAAACCACAAATCAGAAATTCTGAGTTCTGATTTTGCCCAATTCCATTTGTCCCCCCTCACATGTCATTAGCAATAAGTATGGAAAATACACTATTCCTATCAAAAACTTGAATGGCTAAGGGGCTGAATGATAGACTCTAATCCTGAGTGATTCAGGACTGAATGATTAAAGCAATAACCAATGCGTGGCTTAGAAAGGCTTCCTGAAAGTCATCTCACGCCTCTTTCTCAGAAGCCTGCCCCATACATTCTCTTAAACAGCCTTAATATTATTGTTTTTTAAATATATTTTTACTGATTTCAGAGAGGAAGGGAGAGGGTGAGATAGAAATATCAGTGATGAGAGGGAATCACTGATCAGCTCCTGCTGCACGCCCCTCACTGGGAATTGAGCCCGCAACCTGAGCATGTGCCCCTGACCAGAATCGAACTTGGGACACCTCAGTCCACAGGCCGATGCTCTATCTACTGAGCCAAACCAGCGAGGGCACAATATTATTGTTATATTAAAAGTGTTCAGCCCAGGCAGTGTGGCTCGGTGGTTGAGCACTGACCCATGAACCAAAAAGTCACTGGTTCAATCAGGACACATCCCCAGTAGGGGGTGTGCAGGAGGCAGCCCATCGATGATGCTTCTCTCTCATCAATGTTTCTATCTCTCTATCCCTCTCCCTTCCACTCTCTCTAAAAATAAAAAAAAACTTATTTTTTTAAAGAAATGTTTAGTTCCTAAAAGCTCCTGTTACGGACAGGCATTGATACCTTACCAGGAGATCCAACGGCAATATGACATTTTTTAAGTCTGGTTTTGTCTTGAGGTAAAGGAGTCCCTCCAATAAAGACATGACACTCCAAGCCTTCCATTTTTATTCCAATGGCCGTGATAACGGAATGTATCTGTACAGCAATTTCTCTTGTAGGTGCCAAGATCAAAATCTAAGAAAATGTAAAATACACCTTTAATGAGTCAATCAAATAAGTACATGTGATTGGCGTATTATACAATGAGCTATTTTCCTTTGAATGATCAGTTTATTCATTCAGCAAATCCTATATAATAAAGGCCTAATATGCAATTGTTCAACCAGTTCGACTGCTTGCTATGACATGCGCTGACCACCAGGGGTGGCGCGCACTGGCAGCGAGTGGTAGTGGAGGCGCTGCCAGCCACAACAAGAGCGGGACGGGGGAAGGATGGTGGAGCAGGTGAGTAGGCGGCACCAGGCCAAGGCGGCTGCGAGCAGGGGCCTGATCACCCTGACCGATTGCCCCACAGATGGCAACCAACGACTGGCAGGCCCTGATCGCCCAATCGGGGCCAGGCCCCAGGCTGGGACGAGGAACTGGGGGTGGGTGGTGGCGACCAACCTCCCACGGTGCCCCGGAGGGGGGCTGCAACCTCTCGTCGGCTACCTGGGGGCAGGGGTGATGGGGGCGGAGGTGCGGTGAGAATGTGGGGTGCCTGCCAAGCTCACTCTCACTCCCCCTGCTCCCCTCCCCCAGGACGCCAGGGTTCGCGCGCTGGGGACCCCACACTCAGGTGCCAGATGCCCGCAAGGAGGCCCACCCCTGCACCCACTCGGCCTCTTCCAGGTGAGTCGGGCCCCACCCACCCGGATTACAGGGGCTTCCCGTGGGTTCGTACAGGAGCCAGTCTGCAGTCAGCAGGAGAGAGAGCACTGCCCCCCCCCGCTTCTGTGCTGCGCCGCTTGTCGGCCCAAAAGACCCATGTGAAACCCGGTTCGCCGCATTTCGGCGAACTTTATCTCATAATCTATATTGGGGGCTCCTGGCACCCCCGACTCCACCGAGGAGGGGGGGGCATAAGGGCCCCCGGACAACCGGTGTTGCCCCAGAACCCCAAAGAGCAACCTGCGA